GGGGTTCTCCGTCTGGGGAGGGAAAAGCAGTCTTGCCTCTCTGCACAGCCTGTTTCCACTACTGTGAAATGTGAACTGCCTTCTTCTCTGGATACCTGTCCACCAACCCTAGGGTCTTGGGGTCCAAAATAGGTGCTCAAAACATGAGAAGTGGGATATTGTTGTCAGGGCCATTTGCAAACAGGCCCCAGTTGGGGAGGTGGAAAGGAGACACAAGTTACCTGCCTTGAAACTCCTCCAACCCAGTGTGACAGCTGGGGGTGGGTAGAGGCAGGGAAAGGTCATGGCCGGGGCAGAAGGTCAAGGCCCCTTTCACTCACCTCTACCCCCCTTCCTGGCAGAAACCCAGATCTCAGCGCTCCCGACGACGACGACGACTACGACGACGACGACGACGACGGACAGAGGACAGAGCTCACCAGGTCCTGGGGAGTCGCCCGACCGCGCTGAACGCACGCCTGGCCGCGGGAACCCGGGTCAGGGATAAGGTGCTGAGCGGGCGGGGACCGAGCCGCCAGGCCCTGGGACACACAGACACGCACGCGGCCGGACAGACGACGGACAGCGCCAGCGGCGAGCGCGGGCCCGGCTTACCGCGGGGCGCAGGGTCCGACGAGTCTCCGGGAGGCGGCGAGCGGGCGCTACATCCCAGGCGCAGTCGGGCGGGCGGCGTCCCGGGCGGGGAGAAGGGTGTCCCGGCGCCCACTCCCCGCGAACTCGGCGGGCCGGCCCCGCCCCCCCTCCCCGGCTGCCTGTGGGTCTGTCCGTCGGTCCCCGGGTCTCGCGGTCTCCGGGCCGTCCCGCGCCGCTCCCCGCGGGCCGCCCAACTTTCAGCGCTGCCCCGCGCCGCGCCCTCGGCGCCGCCTCGGCTTCAGCATCGTCGGGCCCCGGGCCGGGGCTCAGAGCGCGAGGGTCCGGGGACCCATGGCGCTGGCGCCCCCCGCCCCCGCCGCAGGCTCCTTCCCTCCGCCGCCCCCACTGTTCTCTCGCTGTCACTCCGCGCTGTCCCCCGCCCTGCGCTCCGCTCCCTGCCCCGCTGCGCTCGCCTCTGGCCCCGAGACCCCCGCGGCCGGCCAGCCCCGGCTCTGCCGCCACCTCCCCCGCCGCGCCCTCGGCTCTCTGTTTCTCCCGGTCTCTCCTGCCCCCGTCGGTCTCTCGGTCTCTCCCTGCGGGTCCCTGTCTTCGTCTCCGTCGCCTTCCCAGTCTGTCCCCTGCCTTCCTCTACCCCTGCTCTGTCTCTCCCCTGCGCGTCTCTGTCTCGTTCCGGTCCCTGCCTCTGTCTCTCTCCCTCCCTCCCACTCTCGGTGCGGCCCCCGCGGTCTCGGACCCAGGCCCCTGCCTCTGCCGCGTCCCCGGCTTGCCCGGGAGCCCGAGCTCCCGCCGCCCGCGGCGCGCCGAGAACTCCCAACTCGCGGCACGCCGCCCGGCTTTGCGAGACTTTCGCCCCTCCTCACACGTGACCCGCGCCCCACTGCGGAGGCCGCGCGCCCCCACCCCCAGCCCCGGAGCCCCGGGCGGCCCACCGGGCCCGGCCCTGTCCCTTCTCCTCAGCCTAGCCAGGCATGACACCCCCTCCCACCCGCCGGCCGCGCGGGCTGAGCACGGGCTGGGGGCCACGTGGTCCGCTCCTGCCCGAGATCCTGGCCGGGTTTTCCTCCTCCCCCCCCAGGAGCGCTCCTCCCAGAACCCATTCCGAGGGTGCGCTCCCGGGTTTTCTCGCCCCCCAGGGGCAGGTGGAGAGGTTTCCTCCGTGCTGGGAAGGGAGTGGGTGGGAGAGGGTCGGTACCGGCTTCGGTAGCGCCGGGCCACTCCCCTCTATGGTCCCCTTTCCCTCCTGAAGAACGGGCAGTTAAGGACCATGCACACCCCGCTCCGGGAGACGGAGGTGTGGCCCTGCTGGAATGACCCTCACAATCAGCTAGGTAGCACCGCCCCGTTTTACAGACTGGGAGACTGAGTACCAGAGAGGGTCACAGGCTTGCCCAAGGTCACCCAGAGCTGGCAGAGGCGGGTCAAACCCCAGTCTCTCTCTGCGTCCCCATTACCCCAAAGTGTCTTTATAAGGGAGGATCACGCCCTTTTCCTTCTCGCCCTGAGTGCGCTCAGGTCTGGGTCCACACTCTGTACTGCAGGGAGAGGACCCCAGCACCTCAGCCCCTGGTGAGCCAGCCATTTCCATGGCCATCCTGGCACCTCACTGCAACCCTCCGAGGACGCAGGAGATTGGAGGTTGCAGGGTAGGAGGATGAGAGAATGCCTGCAGTTAGACAGCCAGAAGGACTTACCTGGGAGCCTGGCCATCTCTGACTGGCCCTAGTTAAGAGAGGGAGACTGAGGCATCCCAAAGCTGGATTGAGAATTTATTGAATATAAAATCTCCTGCTTTGCCTTCAAGCTGATCCTCTGAAGTTGCATCAGGCACAGGAACCACAGCACATGAACCACCATGACGGTGTCCAATCCCCAGAGACCCCCCTCAACTGAAAGGATCCAGTCCCAACTCCTCAGTGTGATGTACGGTCAGGCCCCACCTTATCCCACACCCCATGTACCCACACATACATCCTGATTCCTATAGATTCCAGAACACACCAGATGCTTCCACACCTCTCTGCCTTTGCACGTGCTGTTCTTCCTGCCTGAAATGCCCTTCCTCCTTCTCTGCTCTGAGAATTCCTGCTGTTCCTCAGTCCAGCCTCCACGCCACCTCCCCTAGGAAGCCCTCCTGCTGCCCTCACCTACTCATTCACTCATCCAGCACCGGGCACAAGTTTGGTTCTTGTTAAGTAGGCTTGGGAGTCAGGCCAGCCTGGGCTCAACGGCACATGCAGCTTCAAGACCTTGAGCAAATTTTCTATTTAACCTGTCTATAAAATGAGGACCCTCACTGTCCCTCGCCTCAAAGGTGCAGGTCAAGTGAGGTGGATGCACAAGAAATGCACAGCTCATAGTTGGTGCTCAATAAATGTGACCATCCCTTCTCGGTCCTCCCTTCAACGCTGTGCAGAGCCGCACAGCACGTATCCCATTCCATGCCCCGCTTCCTCATTACCCTGCTGTGCCCTCATGGGGTGGCAACGAGGACTGATGTTCCATGGAATGAGTCTTTGGCCTGTGAATGGGTGGGGGAACTCAAGCAATCTGAACGCTGGGTCAGCGGCCATGTGTGCCTGGTACCTATCATACCTTTCCATGAATTGAAAGTGGGAGGATGCAGGTGAGGCAAATGGCCTGTGGTCTCTTCACCTGGCCAGAGGCCTGGCCTGGTGGCTGCCCTGGGAGTGTGGGGTACAGGGGAAGGAGGAGGGGCAGCAAGAAGGGGGAGATGGAGACAAGGGTGTCTTTAGACCTAGAGCATCTTTTCCCATGGGATCAAACCCAATGTTAGGTCCCTGTGCACCAGTTTAAGGAAAGAA